TGACGGCAGCGCCAGCGCGCGGAGGGCGGCCCTACGAGCCGCGAGAGAGGCCAAACTTACTGGAAAAGCCCAGGGCTCGGGGTTTGTAGGAGTTTTTGTTCGGTTTTGTTTGGTTTTGTTTCCCCCCCCATAATAGTTGTATTTTAAGAGCCATCTCAATCAGCTTTTGTTTGGGGGGACGGGAGGGCACGAGATGTGCGAGATCACACAGTTTACACAAACTCCTCATTCTGAATGCCCCACCTATTAAAAGACAAATTAAATACCGCAGGTGCCCTCAGGTGCCGTCCACCCCTGCCAGCCCAAATAACGGTGCCGGCCCTGTGATCTTCTCCATCGGCGCCTTGGTCCCTAACGAGTCACTGAAGCGAAGGGCAATCCACCTGGGACCGAACGTACCCTACAAACTGCTGCACAGTCCCCACTTGCCCTCCTCAGCTTGATGAGTACCAGAGGAAGGATTGTTACTGAAAGATGTCACAGGCATCAACATATTTAGTACATCCAAAAGTCTAGAGCTGAAGCAGGTCATTAAACTGGTTCTCATCCCGCTATTTACATTAAGGGCTCCTGGTAAACCCAGCTGAGCCCCGTACCATGATTGCCTCTGAAGGAAGGAGAACGGCTTTGTCCAAGCAGGTTAAAGTTCAAACTGTCGCCAGCTGCAACTGGCTGTCACCGATCCTCATAGTGGGAGTGTTATGTACTTGGAGACCAAAGCCAGGAGGTCTGGGTATATGCCAAATTCAGTACTGAAAATGAGGACACAGACAGGTATGATCACCTCCAGAAAAAGCCCAACATATATATGCTGCTGCATTTTCAGCTGCTGGATTTCCCTTGTAGCGCTGATACAGATGTATTGCAGCAAAGGATGCCAGAGCTGTAGAGCGCTGTATTCCGATTTACATGGGCGGCCTAGTCAAATGCCAAGAATGTGAAACATTGATCTTAATTTTGCCTTCCACTGCGAAAACAGCAAATGGGTTCAACACTACTGTGCATATCGGTTGGATGACACCTCTTTAAAAAAAGAAAAAAGAGCTTACTCATTTGACAGGACTTGGTGGAATACAGAAACAATTTTGTCAGGGTTGTATCAGAATATAGTTACCGCATTTTGCTTGCTTCTTCTGACATATTCATGAGACTTCATATTACTCTTACTTATAGAATGCCTACATCTGATTTTCTCACATTGAGATTATTTACATTAATTATCTCTGTAAAGGTTTCCACCGAGACTCGGGCTTTTCACTACTTCCTCCTTTCACTACTTCCTGCCTGTGATATTTTTATTTTATTGCTTTTGGTTAGCTTTTCTTTTAATTATGGTTTTCTATAGCAGATGAATTTCTTATTCTTTACAGGTTTACACATTTATATTACTTGTATTCTTTGGGCAACACATACTAAAGGACCAATGAGCAGTAAGTGATGAGGAAAGAAAAGACCTTCTGTTACACTCATTAATTCTCTGGTTGAACAGATTCGTACATCCAATTTACATGCAAGGATTGAACAGTAGCTCTCCTGCTGTCATGATCAACATGTAGAGCTCAGATTCAAACAAAAAAAAAAAAGAAAAAAGATTTTTGAAGTCCACTGAGTACCATATGCGGGAGAGCTGAGCACGCACACGACCAATGTGATCAAGCAATGCCCATTTATTACAACTAAGAAAGCCCTTTTATAATGTTCTCCTGCACACGTGAGTAACATGCAGTACAAGTCCTCAAGACTGGACAGTTAACTTAGCCCACGCTTTAAACCTTCTTATGACTGGATAAAAGGTGCCACATCAGCCGTGCCAGGCTTCCTGCCTTGTGGAACTTCCTCTTCCGTCCCAAACCCTTCCGGGGGTTGTTTGTCTCATTGAGTTTCTCCCCCCTCATTCAGGGTCACATCCTTATCACATTCTTACTCAGTTGAGGCTCTTATCAGTCTTGTTTTCACGCAGGATTGCTCACATGGCCATTCTCTCGCAGAAAGATCTCTAGATTCCCAACAACCATACACATTACTTTCATTGCTTTGTCTCCCATTTGGTAAAACTGAGTCTGCATATGATCAGCCAGCCCTACCTTTACTCTTGCATCTCTGTTACTGATGTTTCCTTGCTGTTGTGCTGTAGTGGCGGAAGAGCTGGATCCCTTACCACACGTGACAGCTGCCATTTTCACTACTGTGGCATTTAGCACTGCTAGACTAAGCAGTACCTGTGCTTGCTTCATGGTAGTTGCTCTCTGGTTGCTGTAGCACTAATGGATTTGTGGTTTTTTTTCAGTCAGCCCCAGGCAGAGAGGACATTTCAGGCTCTGTAACTCACAGTTTTGTCAAGTGAGTGCGAAGACTCACGAAGAAGGGAACCATATAGTCCCAACCTGAAAAGCTGAAGGGTCCAGTCACAAAAGCTCTAATCTGAATACAGAATAATGTAAATATATATGTTGTTAGGACTTTAAATAGGTTTCATAAATGATTTAGCACTTGTAATCAATGCCACAGTTACACACAGTAACCCTGTGTAGCCACCATAGAATAAGCTGATCAGATATACAAATCTAGCCAATTTTGCCAAATCAAAGCTTGCACGAGTGCTTGTGCTACCACAGGTGAAGTATTGGGAATGAGTGGCTAAGAGGAAAAAGAGGAGTGCAAGTCCCCCTGTTTTGGTGGTAACATGGTGGCACCATGTTCAATGAAAGTGGTCACTGAGCCATGGCCTGACAGTGAACGTCCCTCTCAACACATTGCACTATAAATTCAGCTGTGTTTTATTGCCCCCCTTATTCAGCTTATAAGGGGTCCTGTGTTCCCCCAACCCCCAGAAACAAAACTTATTTATTAATTTATTAACAAATTTTCTTGGCAGCCATTTCTGTATTTATAACAGTCTGCAGAAAAAAGTGGGACTTCATATATGTATACAAAAAAATACACTCATCACTTAAGTAAGGGCATGTGTCTGTAGGACAGTTTTACTTAAACTCACTGTAAATGTTAGCTGATAACTTTGTCCCACATTAATGCATGCAATATACACATTAGCTAAGCATTTTAATCTTTGATAAATATTTTAGCTTGAAACATGTTTAACTATAATGTGGTTTCTCACATAAGTTTTAAAGCAAAATTTGATGTGACCTGAATCAAGCATTTCCTATTTAAGACTGAGCTTTTAGATAAGTCACTAGGTAGTCACTTTATCTAGCATACCCTGCAAGTGCAAGTTATATTGCCATCTCATTACCTTCATTAAAAATAGAAGACAGGAGAAGGTGGTGGTTTATCTTTCTTCTCAGAACTGAGATCTTGCAGAACAAAAACTTGTCTGCACTTCACTGTAAAACTATGTGTCCAGTGAAGCTGCATAGTAATCCCCTAGCATAATCACAATCTTCAGTCGACCCTTAGAGGAGCAGCCTGCCCATGAGGTGTGAAACTTTGCTGTGGTTACACAAGCCCCTTTCAGAGAAGTGAACTAGTAATAGACTCAGTTTTGCTGCCAATTCTAGAGTTAGCTATTACACTGACAAGTCTTGCTTTCTGTCTCTGTTTTTTCCACATATTATTATAAAATCATGTTATTCATAGCATCATGAGACCTTGTCCTATTACTTCTGGATACTTTGTAAGACACCTGACTAACTTGTAATTTCCAGTTCTTCACCCTGCCCATTCTCAGTCCCCACAGTATAAGAACCTCACTAATTACATGATTTTGTAATAACATAACTTCTTTTAAAGATCACATTTCCACAATGATTCTTTAAAACCTGTCAGGTGCTTTGAATACCAGGCGTTATCAGCTGGGTAAAGCCCACGTAGATCTCAACACTGCATCCTTCCCCTAATGCACAGCCACTATCAATAAGGAAACATTTCTCTACACCTTCTTTTCTCACTGCTCTTATATATAGCATCCTGGTCTATTCAGTAGCACTAATAGCACAGGGATGGGAAACTGTAGATAGTCACATTGCATCTTTATTTCTCCATTAGCACTTTGATCAGCCCAATTTTGATCCATCTGCACACCATCTATTCTTTCTCCCTTTCATAAAGGATTTCACAGTACAAACTGAATGCGGACTACTGGACTGCTGAGATGATTACTTGTTATCTTTTGTTTTTTACTCTTCTATCATATCCTCATCACTTTTAGATCATTTCAAATCTCTACAAATGCCAATCCTGGACATCAGTATGAGCTGGGAAGTTTTTCCCACTTGTTGAATTCATGCAAAGAAAGAAGAGTGATTTGGGAGTAAAATGGGAACTGAACAATATGCTTTTCTGGCTGTCATAAATTTAGCACAAATCCAGCAAATGTTAGAAAATATGATGAGATGCCTTCTGCAGATGCTGCAGTTGTTTCGGCTGGGGGGTGGGGTGGGGTATGTCCTTGTCAGGTTTTTGTTTACAACAGGAGCTTATTATTCCACTACTGGATTTTTGGTTTTAAGGACTTTATACAGACTATTACATAGTAATAGTGAAAGTGGTATTACAAGCTAAAGTTGGCTGTTCATAGGGTTATTCAGGGAATCTGAGCACATAACCAGTGCTCTGAAATGCATACCTGTGTCTAACCTCTCTGGACAGTGTCTATCAAGAGCTGCACACCTGCCTCTGAGTAGGACTTTCCCTTGAGCAGGGAATCTGTCCAAATAGCCAACAAGGAAATGTTGAAGTGGGGATTTTTTGTCAAGACAAGGTTTTAGCTCCACTTTAGATGCGCAGCCAGGCACTTCCACCTGAATCAACATGCAAGTCACTTCTTCAAAACTAGGGTACAACTTGTTCTTTTTATCAGTGTGCAACTGAAGTGTTAACAGTGCCTTCTGTTATATAACGTGATATATAATAAAAAGTGCTTCCAACAACGACGAAATACGTGGACCCCAAGACTCTCACATCTTGAGTTAGCTGGACACAGCTG